TCTCAAGTTTGTTGTGCTTTTCAATTAAGACACAATACTTGTCATTGAGTGCAATATTTGCCTTCTTTGTGAGAACATGTTCTCTTTGTTCTTCGGCCAAGGCCTTCCTCAAAGAGTCCAACTCACTTCTCTCTAACTCAAGAGCTTCTTTGCAGCCAATATACATCTTTTTGGTTTTCTCAAGATAATCATCTCTATCGGCTAGCTCGGCTTTGACACTTTCTAATTCCTCCATTAGATTCATAATAAAGAGCTTGGTTTTAGAATTCAACTTCTTAGTCAATTTAGCATATTTCTCAACATCACTAGTATCATCATCACTAGAATCACTAAGTTCACTACTAGAGATGTCACTAGGAGGTGGAGGAGATTTGGCTCTTTGTTTTACCTTCTCACCCTTTGCCATAAGACAAACGTGAGTGGAGTGGTGGTCATCATCATCGGACATGTTGTTGAAGAGCCTTGGTGTAGAGGATGACTTTTGAATAGCCACGGTTGCAACCTTCACATCCTCTTCACTTGACTCCTTAGTTGAGTCCCACTTATACCCAATGTGTGCCTCTCCCATTTGCTTGTATCTCTTTTTGTGTTCATGCTTGCCCTCATTGTTGTCCCTCTTGTATTTGTTTTCTTTCTTGTCATAGGGACACTTAGCAACGAAGTGCTCCGTGCTGCCACAATTGTAGCAAGTCCTCTTCTTCTTGTTTGGGAACCTTCTTTACACTATTTTGTACCCATTCTTTTTCAACCCTTTGTGGTAGCTCTTCATGAACAAAGCCATGTCATCGATCTTCATGTAATCAGCCCCATCATCTTCATCTTCACTTGAGGATGAACTTGGATCATCATTTTGTGGATTTGACTTGATTTCCTTGGGTTGACTTGTTGATGCTTGCTTGCTGCCCTTAGCCTTGTTGGAGGTGCCTTGATTGCTTGATTTATTTGCCTTGAGAGCCACTTCCTTGATCTTCATGCCTTCTAACTTGGCTTGCAACTCACCAAGTCTTCTCCTCTCATTTGCTTCTTCTCTTTGCAAGTCAAATGTCAACAATCTTCCAAGCACATCATTTGGTGTGAAATGCTCAAACTTCTTATCTCTAATCAAGGTGACTACGGTCTCATTTCTTGGTGAGTAAGCTTCCAACATAACCTTCATCACTTTGTGATCATCAAGCTCATCACATCCATAGCCTCTAATCTTGCCCACCAAGGTCATCAATCTATCAAACATCTCTTGTGGCCCCTCTCCATCAACAATCACAAATCTATTGAGCTTGGTCATCAACAAATCAATCTTTGCCTTCCTTACTTTATCAACACCTTCATGTGCTAGATGCAAAGTGTCCCAAATCTGCTTTGCAACATTGACATTCATCACTCGGTTGTACTCATTTCCATCCAAGGCACTAAGAAGAATACTTGTGGCTTGGCCATTTAGATGGACAGCAGCTAGCTCTTCATTTGTTGGTGCTTCGGGATCTTCCGGTGGCTACAATCCATTCACCACAATCTCCCAAAGACCGGGGTGAAGACCTACAAGATAAGCACTCATCAAGTGCTTCCACTTGACAAAGTTTGTCCCATCAAAATGAGGCAACTTGCCCGCGGGCACATTGACAAAAGATCTCTTGTTATGGTTAGACAAATAAGAATAGTTAAAGGATACGGTGGCATATTTGTTCTTGTTGTTGTTGCTGCCCTTGTCCTTACTATCCTTCTTTTTGTCCTTGCTCTTCACCTCCTTGCTATCTTTTGAAGCATGGTATGACACATCATCATCTCCATCGTCTGAGCTACTAGAGAGCTCACTAGATGATGCATCATACTCATTCTTCTCTTGCTCTTTAGCTCTTGCTGCCCTTCTCTTAGCTCTTGCCTCTCTTGTGATTCTTCTAGCTTCTTTTCTCTTCTTCTTGTCTTTGAGCCGCTGCTCTTCCTTCTTCTTTTCTCTAGCTTCTCTTGTTGCGATCTTGGCGGCTTTTCTTTTCTTTCTTGCCTTTCTTCTTTCGGCATCGGTGGTCTTGGGTTCTTAATGGTGGCATCGCTTGCTGTGGACATGGACAGCTCGCTACTATTGCCAACATCCTCAACGTGCACACCACTTGCTTCCGCAATGCAAACGGTCTTTGAACCTTCTCCTTCTTCCATACTTCACGCGGTGAAGCGTATACGAAGCAACATCGCTCCGATACCACTTGTAGGATCTACTGGAAGATAAAGAAGGCCTAGAGGGGGGTGAATAAGCATATAAAAATTTAACTCAAAACTCTGTTAGAACAGAGGGCGGCACTGCCGCTCTATGAAAAATAATCTAACACAGTTGAGATTTAACAGATATGAACCTGACCAAACTAGCTGCTTAATCCTGCAATATAAAGCCAAGATCCAGTTCGAAGACTGGATACCACAGAATCTTCACACAACAGTGAATCGAGCAACTAAATCCTAACAACAGCTAGCAATAATGTAAACAATAAGTATAGTGAAGAAAAAGCACGCAAGACACAAGATTTATCCCGTGGTTCAGCTCACCACTAAGATTTGCCTAAGTCCACGTTGTTGAGGAAGCCACAAAAGGCTTGAGCTTGCAACAAAGGCTTGCTTTACCATTGTTCTCAAATCAAGAGAGTGAACTCTTAAAGTGAGGGGTTATTTCTTAGCTTTCAAGTGAGGTTACAAACCTCCCAAGGCTGCTACACGAGTTGGCAAGCACAAGGGCGACGCCTAGCCGGCTAGGAGCAAGCTCCAAGATTAACAAACCCTAGAACCGCCAGCCAAACGTGAACCAAATGCTCTTAGACTTTGGGAATCAGTGGATCTCCTCTCCAATCCAGTTTTGCTGCCTTTTCTCTCAAGTTTTGATGGTTGGAATCAAGGATTAGCTTGAGGGATGTATGAGCAACAATGTAGGAGAGGGGTGAGCTTTGGTTCTGTCTGTTTTCGAGCAGAGTGACTCAGTGGAGAAGATGACCGTTGTGGGCCGGACCTGAAGGGTATAAATACCCCCCGAGCCCAACGGTCAGTTAAGAGCGGCACTGCCGCTCTTAACAGGGCGGCACTGCCGCCCTAGCCAAAACAGGTAACATGATATGAAATTTGGCTGGCTGTTTTGACTAGGTGGGAGGATGTAAATCTGTGAATTTGAGCATCTAATTCAATAGTTGACCAACTGTCCTAAAATCCCTCTTGATAGTATAGCTTTTCCTAAACTCAAATTCAAAACATAAAAGAATTTAAACCTCCTTTGAGCTCGGTCTGACTACCTTTTGTAATTAGGACACCTGCAACATGTACATCATCCCCATTCTTTGATTTCCTGCTTGTCATCTCAATAAATCTCATTAGTCCACTAATTTGGTGGTCATCAATACCAAAACCCACAATAGGGCTTGATTGCACTTACACCAAGTGTCCAGAATAATAAACATGTGAGAAAATGAATATAGCTGGCATCAACAATTATGTACTCAGTTCATACACAAGAGAACCGTTGAGCTTGACATCCATGAAGAGCAACTAATATAGTGAAAACTGAGAACACATTGGAAAAGTTGATGGTGGCACAAATGTGCTGACCCTGAACTTGCAGTAAGATGGAAAGGGAGGCCACCTGACCCTACGACTAAAAGCAAGGAGTTCATGTAATGGAAACGTACAACACAAATTTATGTGAATGTGTGAATAAGCAAAGGCTGTAAATGCAGGAAATAATTTTGCAGCCATAAGTGGAGGACGCAACATATAGGAGGCAAAAATACAAATAAAATTAAAAGCATAAGTAGGTTACCTGAAGAACAGGGCAAACAGGAAACTCTGTTTTTTCGCAGAAGTATTGTAATAAGGACCACCTTGATTAATCGTTTGGATTCAATGAGACCCAGCACAGGTCTAGTAGAGACGTACCTGAATAAAAGCACATCTATATTAAACCAGCTCACAGTGGTATAAAAGAAAACTGAAGTGAAATATATGCCAGCAGTGGCAGGAAAAGAAGGTAAATAAAACCATGAAGCAAAAACTGACATGCAATTGTGTTTTGTTGTATAGATATGTACAAAAGCTGAAAGACGATATTCTCTATTGATATCCTACGCTATAACTAGTTACCATACAGGTGTTGTAGACCATAGTGACCAACTAATTTTTTGAATATGCTTCTGATATAACTGTATCGTAACTAAAATATGACCTCAGACTAAAATATCGTATTGCCCTCATCAAAAAGGAAAAATGTAGGCCTTCGTTTGTTTCACCTTTTTATGTTGACCTATCGGTTTTAGCGGCCCCTTGCTGGTCCAAAAGACGTCCTATGACTACAAATAGTTACCGCTTCCATGTACCTGAACAATGCAAAATAACCGAGGCCTAAACAATGCAAAGTAATTGAGGCCTGAGCAAAAACAATAGTGCCATCATCAACAACCCGAGTGGAAATAGCTAATTAGCTTGGGAAAGTTTTTTTGTTGAGTACAATACCTGCTTAGTGCCTTCATTGCTGAATACAATTGTTTACACCTCTTAAAATATATTATCAAGTGCCAATTTTAGCAAGTATAGCTATGAAATTGCCAAAGTTCGACCAAGATGTCAGCCAACAAAACTACAAAGAGGCAAGAATAAATATAAGACAGATCAAAGATGTCAATGAACTTTAAATATATAGAATAGATTAAAGAGAAGAGGCAAGAATCAATGACCGAAAATTAGATAGGGCAAATCAACAACTTAATTCTGTAGGTGGAAATTTCCCACCAAGATGTGAACCAACAAAATGGCAAACCTGTTATTTATTACGAAACTTAAATGATCAACATCTTGAGCTTGGAACTTCATAGCATTAGTATAATAACATGAGATCACTACCAATCATCATTTGTTCATCAACTTGGAGCTTCAGGGCATGCCAGCAACTGGGTTAGTCTAAGAAATTGCACAATATAAGTAGCAGGTCATGCCCAGTACCTTACAAGCGAACGAACATCAGATCATATCTTTGAGCAATGGGTATGGAATTTTCATCACAGGCTGAAGATGGGAAAAATGGCAAAGTGGAGAGCGCTATAGAAATAGGATATAGAACTGCAGTGCCTATATACAACTGCAACGGCAAAGGTAACAAATTTTTTTGTAAGACAGGATTATTTAGAGGCCTCAACAACATACCAATCATCATTTGTTCATCAATTGGGAGCTTCCGGGCATGCCGACAACTGGGTTAGTCTCAGAAATTGCACAATATAAGTAGCAGGTCATGCCCTGTACCTCACAAGCGAATGAACATCAGATTATATCTCTGAGCAATGGGTATGGAATTTTCATCATAGGCTAAAGAAGGGGAAAATGGCAAATGGCAAATGCTCAGACCATAACCAATGAGAAAATTAATCCAAACAGAACGGGTGGTGGGCACACAAATCTTAGTAAGATTGCACCAGGTATTTAGTGAAATAATCATAAAACTAAAGAGTGGCTAAGGAACATGTGGATCCACATTAATACGTAGGTACGAACAGTGAACTCTTAGATAAAATCTAAAGCGAAATGAGAGGGTAATTCAAATATGTGTCCAAACACGTTGAATCAACATTCTTGAATACGGGCACAAAATCAAACATGATCGTTTGCACAACACAGCCTGATGATATATACTGTAGTAAATATCATGTCGGACATTATGTTCCCTTCATATCCATGACAAGGAGAACAAGAGCCCCCAAAACACATTAGAACATCTTGACAAAGTCGATAAATGAGATACTTTGTACAGATAGATCATGTATAGGTAATATCGGTATTAGAAAGTTAACAACACTATCAGGAAATTAGGAAAAGGCTGCCTCTATTAAAATGAACCTATATCAGCAGTAGACATAGTTGCAGTGAGAACCGTAAGAAACAGGACAAGCAAAAGTTAGATAAGTGGCTGACAATGCTATCACTGGGAATAGGGCGTGTGCTCAGAACCAAGAGTGTATAACCTGACGTCACAAGCATTGGTCAGATAAGTACCAAGAAGAATATATATATGACTTCACGGGCAATAAGAAGCTGAGATTGCACAATTATGTGTTATTGACATCATAGGCAATGGTCATAGGCAAGTATGAGCGCAAAACCAAAGGCAATGATAAGATTAGGCAAAGGGAGAAACCATCAGAGGCAATGACACCAAAATCAGAAGCTCTCAATTTTAGTTCGGGCTCCCATGAGTAGAGGGCATCCACATCAGGCAGAAGATCGTGCACCGTTCTATCGGAGATACTGCACCGATTTGTACTGCACAAGAGGCAAAATCTCTTCTTGCCTCGCTGTCTATCGTCCGTGCACAGCGCCACTTCAAATTTCATAACTAGGAGGCAACTCCAATGAACAGTACATCCCATTGGTGGCTCTAGAACACTGAGTACACAAAATAGAGTAGATACAAAGGGAGGAAAAAAATCGAACCAACCAACTAATCATTGCCGCAGTTATCATGGAAGAGGCAGAAAGAGGTGCAAAAAAATAGAATCAGCACTGGTCATGGTGACTGTGTTAGCTATCAACATAGTAGGGACATGTAAAAGGAACCATCGAAAAAACAGAACCAAGCAAACCAACCAATCGACCATTGCCTCAGGTATCATTGAACAGGTAGAAAGAGACAGAAAAAATACAATCAACATTGCTCATGATCATTGTCTCAGCCACGGAGAGCAATTGCAGGCGACGTGGACACCCTGAATGAATTTGAGGTGACGTGGCTAAATTTTTCTGCTGAAGGCAACCTTGTGATTGTAGAGGTAGATGATCACTGCATCGAACACTAAACATTTATTGTGTATTCATCACAGCACTACCCTATTCCCTCAAATTAATCTAACAGCAAGAGGAAAGTGTACTCATCATTGCACATGACCAAAATCATGAGCACCGCAGTGCACTAAAAAACGAGACAAATACAATCGACATGGTGATGTCCTCAGATATATGCCACAAAAACATGAGCAGTGCAGCATACCAAGAAATCAAACAAATATCATTGACATGGTCATGTCATGAAATATATGCCACGACACGTAGGTAGTCTCAAGATCCAGCCGATCCGAGCAGGTGACAAACGCAAAGAAAATCTGCAGTAAGGCAACAATAGATCTAGGGTCAAATTGACCTTGGCTTATTGGATTGCGTCTCAATGACAAAGCAATGGCACCGCACATGGCAGATTCAGTGCATTGAACCCTACATAGAGTAAGGAGGAGGAAAGAGAGAGAGCGTGTGTGTGAGAGAGGGAGGGAGCAAACCAGTGAGCAGACGGATCGAGGAGCCGCGCGAATGGCGTGCAGGACGCCGCACAGGGGGAGCAGGGTACGGCCGGTTGCCACGGCCACCGCGGCGTTGCCACTGCTGGGGCTGGCGCGCACTGTCGGGGCGGGGCGCTTGCAGGCCGCTGCCGCCGTGCGTGGGGGGGGAGCGGCGACACCGAAAGTCCCGGTGGCGCCGCTTACACCGCCGCACGAAGGGCAGCCGTCGCCCCGCTTATGCAGAAGCGTGGGGAGCAGGCGTCGCTCTAGCCCTCCCGCTGCACTGCCACGCCGAGGGAGAGGGAGAGAGAAAGGGGAGGCGGGAGGGGAGGGGGCGCGGACGGGAGCCGCGGCGCGGGCGGCGTGGCGGCGCAAGCGAAGGCAAAGGCACGACGGACGGGACGAGGAGCGAGGGAGAGAGAGACGGAGGTGAGGAGATATTTTGGGCATGCTGAAGCGAATGAGCGACCAGCGTTTTTTCGGACGACGTGGCTCAACCCAGGCCACGGAGAGCAATTGCGAGCGACGTGGACACCCTGAATGAATTCGGGGTGACGTGGCCGAATAAATATGATGAAGGTTACCTTTGCTTTAACGGGGTAAATGACTAGTGCATTTTCTTCTACCGGTGTCATTTCTTCTAAGGGATGGGCACAAGGTTCTTAAAAGTTGGATTAGACGGCGTCCGATCCATGTTGCATGGAAGACGGCATGCGTTGTCACTGCAGATAATTTTTTTTTCCCATCTGGCTGGTCTAAAACTCTAAATGAAATTTTTAAAAAACAATTTTTTTTACTTTTATGTGGATTCGTCTCATATCGAGTCATTCTAAAATTCACACGTACTTCAATTCATCAACTGTATATTGACTGGAATTGGATCAGTAATGGCCACGAGCTAGCATAATGCAGGATCGAACAACTGATTACGTGCTGCTGAAAGAGCATTAGGGCAGGAGTAAGTGGGAACTGATTAATTGACTAGGCATTGTAAGGTTATTTGGACATACTGCCTATGCCAATTTTTTCTTGTCTTGATCCCTAATCGCCAGTACCGGCAGCAGGCAGCAAAACAAGTTCCGTGCGTTGGTGCTAATCGATCGAGCCATCCAGGTGACGAGGTGGCTCTCTCAGGACAACCGCATCGAGGTCAGATATCAGTGTCCCTTACCTTTCGTGACCAACGGTGATAGCTCCCGGTCTCGTGACACTGTGATTAGCAGCAGATACGGTGGTTGCCTGAATGCATCCAAATAACCAACGCCTGGCCTCAGAAGCGTCTCTCGGAGCACAAGATACCTCCGTCTCTTGCGAGGGAACAGGGTGGCCTGTTTTGCAAGCTCCACATGTGAGTCGGCTCTGCTGCCGACCTGTGATGGCTATGACTGCGATGTGTAGTCTGCTTCTTTCACTAAGTGCGCGTTTGGTTCGAGGGCGAGGTTGAATGGGATATGATCATCTATGGATATTGAAATAAGGATATCCATGATTCATGTTTGGTTCGATGGATGGGATGAGCATTTTTTCTGTTTGGTTAGATAGATGAACGTACATGGGATGAGAATAATTGGCTAATTATATCTATTATTTAAAAATAATAACAACTAATTAGACACTAATACTATTTTTGTCATGATAATCACTAATTAAAAATAAAAATATTAATTAGCACCACTAATATTCTAATTAGCACACGAAACATGCACTAATCAATATATTAGCACTTATCAAAATTAATCCTACCATCATAATTACTAAGTAATAATATAACATACTTATAATCCTTAATTGATTTACTAATGACAAATATTAAAAGATATGGATAAGCTTATCCAGCAGATTTTTGTGGATGAGTTAATCTGGCATCTATGATGAATATTCTCCTATGGTGGATATCCCTGCCAAGTCATCCGCAGACCAAACACTGCTCATGGATGGATGGCCATATCCCATCCACGGTACCAAACGCACCCTAAAAGTCTCTTAAACTGAGATTCCAATACTGTTGTTTGTGTGGGTCCGATCGAGATCTCCTTGTCTTGGGTGTAGCACATACCAGCGGCTTCCTGCAACGGTGAAGTTCAGAGATCAGAGGATGTCACGTATCCGTCGTCACGCTCGTGCCGCTGGGGAACCTACTCCCATTTGCAGCTGGACTAGCGTGAGTTCACAGCGTGGACTTCGAGCATCTCAAGATTTATAACTCTAAAAAATATTAGAAGAAATAAAATAAGCCATCTCTAAGTTTTCAATAATCCACTCCTAAATTATAGAAGATAATTTTACATCAGGAATCATATACTATTTCTAAATTATTCTAACCACTTTTATACATTCTTTCTCTATTGTACACTTGCATCAGGAATCATTTCCTACTCTTTATTCTTTTTCACATCCTTCCACCTTTAGATTGGCCGACAAACACGCGCGAGGAGAGAAAATACACGTAACTCGGAAGTACGTAACTTTACGCGGAACATGATAATTTTTTCCAAGTTTTAAAAGATTAGGATGATGGATTAGGAGTTGTTGGAGAGAAGTTTTTTCTTAACTTGCTAAAAAATAAGGATTAGAAAGGGATTTATGAAATTGATGGGATGCTCATGCTGGATTAGCTCATACGCAAGTCAACTGCGAAATAAATATTACTACTGCTGCTGCCGCCGAAATGCTCTGATGCTGGACGAGCATTTCTGAACGGGCAGGCCGTGCATTAGATATTCCACTTGGGGATCCCCAAATTCGCTGGGATAAATCGATCGCTCTCATGCATCCCGTTATGGAGGCAGAGGCACGGACGCTTCCAGCTTTGGAAAAAAATCCTCCGTGCCATCGCAGAAGTCGCCGTCGCCAGTTCAGCGCTAACAGTTGTTGATTGGACGGTGGAGGTACGCTGACGAGCGCTACCGGCTTACAGCCTATCGATCCCTGTAATCACACGCCACGACCCACCTCACCAAGCAAAATTATGCCCCTGCAATCATGTAGATTATTATTTGTGGTAGATGATCATCTGAGATCCCGGATCCCATTTCCCATGATCTAGGCGCTGCCGACTGCGTCGTCGGATAACCGTACATTAGCAACGTCATTAGCAAGCAGCTGGCATTCGTCGATTGATGCAACCGTGGCAACTACTACGAGTATGCTCGAGGTAACCAGTCGCTCGCTGCTTGCTGCGCGTTCAAGGCTATTGCAGTACAGGACAGCCTAATTAGTTTTAGAGATAATTCTCTCTGTGTCATTAAAAAAGATCGTAATGTCCTATGTGTCTCTGGAAAAGTTCAGCGGTTTTTGGCGCCACTACTCTAACTTTTTCGTGTCCTTCATGCCACTTCCGTCAGTTTAGACTCTAACGCCGTCAAATTGCAGGTGTGAAAAGACGAAAATACCCTTAAATCTAAATATGTTATTAAATTTTTTTGAGCATCTTAACGACTTCAAATGAAGAAACTCAAAACTAGAAAGTTGTAGATCTCGTCGAGATCTATAATTTTCATATAAAAATTATTTTTATTTAATTCCGCAAAAAAATATAATTTGATATGATTAATATATCTTGAAAAAATCATATTTTTTTGCGGAATTAAATAAAAATAATTTTTATATTAAAATTATAGATCTCGACGAGATCTACCACTTTCTAATTTTGATTTTTTTATTTGAAGTTATTAAGATGCTAAAAAAAATTAATAACATATTTAGACTTAAGGGTATTTTCGTCTTTTCACACCTGCAGTTTGACGGTGTTAGAGCCCAAACTGACGGAAGTGGCATGGAGGACACGAAAAAGTTAGAACAGTGATACTAAAGACGGCTGAACTTTTCCAAAAACACCCAGGACATTACGATCTTTTTTTTAAAGGCACGCATGGAATTCTCCTTAGCGCGTGTTTAGTTGCCCAAATTTTGGAATTTGGGCTACTGTAGCACTTTCGTTTTTATTTAACAATTAGTGTTCAATTATGAACTAATTAGGCTTAAAACGTTCGTCTCGTAATTTCCAACCAAACTGTGCAATTAGTTTTTTTTTCGTCTACATTTAATGCTCCATACACGTATCGCAAGATTCGATGTGATGAATACTGTAGCATTTTTTGGAAAAAATTTTTGGAACTAAACAAGGGCTTAGTTTTTTACTCTCTGGCCCGCCGTGCAACGTCACTTATGGGTGCTGCGTTTGTACGGTACATGTAGTACGCCGAAAGCACAGCGCGACCTCGCTCGCGGTCACAGAGAGGATCCTCCCCAAGGACCCCACGGATCGCCGCGGCCGTTCTCCTGTCGGTGCTCCACGCCTCACCACTCGCCACGCTCACCTCGCCCCACCCGCTCCCCTCACTGCCAGTTGCGGCCCACCGCACCAATCATGGCCGCACGGGTCCGCAGACAGCGACCCAAAACTTCCTTCTCAATCCTCCGGTGACCGTGCACCCAACATTTCCTTATTATTACTGCTGCGCTGTGCGCTCCCACCCCCGACTCCGCCACACACACCGCACCAACCAACCAACCCACGAGCCCATCCGCCGCGCGGCGAGCAGCGCACGAGCTGCTGCTGCAGGAACCGAAGCTGCCGAAACGCGGCGGCGCGGCAGCGGCGGGAGGCCTCGGAAACGCGGAGGAATACACGAGGTCACTTTCCCGGCGAATGCGTTAGGAGACGAGGCGCGGCGGAGATGGGGAAGTACACGCGGGGTGCTGCGGCTGGCTCATCGTGGCGCTGATTGTGGCGCTGGTAGCCACGGCGGCGATGTTCGCCATCATGAAGCGCAAGCCCGGGGGACGCCACATCAAGCCGCTCCCGGTGCCGGGCCCGCCGGGGGCCATCGACTCAAGTACGGCGACGCGCTCGGGGGTCGCGCCCAGTTCTTCCAGGTCCAGAAGGGTGAGTACTGAGTAGCTGGCTCAACTGTTTACTTTATAGCCAATGCAATGCTTTCCCTTTCGCGAGCTGCCGAGCTGGGTGGTTTGCGCTTCAAATGCCGCGGCGCTTCTCCGGCGGCCTGACGCCCGAGGCCTTGCCGTCGCTGAAGAAGCTTTTTGCATGAGTATTTGGAGGTAGCAAGGCTGGCCGTTGACTCATTTCTAGTGGACTCTCTCTGGTGGACTCCATTTCTGGAATTTCACCAATGATTTCCCACTATAGGGAAAGTGATGGTCTGGTAGTGGGGAAATTGATGGTCCGGTAGATTTGAGTATTCAAGTTACGTTTTCCCTGATGGCTTCGGGTCGGCGAATTCGGATTTCTTTTTACCAAATACTTCGCCCCTTAGTTGGGCAGTCTTGGTATCGTTGGACTGTATGGCCTCCCAAATCTCACTTAAATTTTCCCCTCGGGCTGCCAAATTGGCCGCTCTGATGTATGGGCTGCTCTCTCCTCTTAATTGTGATTACACTTATGGGCCGCTCGTCTTACTGCAAAATTTTGGTTACACTTAGCTGCTGCTTTAACTGAAATCCTGGCCATTTACCTTACTCGGTGCAGCGGGGAAGCTGGAGAACAACCAGATCCCGTGGCGTGGGGACTCGGCGCTGACCGATGGGAAGGAAGCGGGACTGGATCTTTCCAAGGGAATGTATGATGCTGGGGATCATATGAAGTTCACCTTCCCGATGGCATTCACGGCGACGGTGCTCTCGTGGTCGGTGCTGGAGTACTGGGGATCAGATGAGCGCTGCAAAGCAACTGGACCCTGCCCTCGATGCACTGAAGTGGATTACAGATTTCCTTATCGCTGCACATCCTTCTGACAATGTGTTGTATATTCAGGTAAGAGTTCCTTACTGTTTCTTTAGAGCACTAGATATTCTTTAAGCATATGATTTAGGAAGTATGAGTTATATTTGATTGAAAACGGATCCCACCCTGTCTGGCATCCTAATGGGGTAATGGTTCTTCAATAGTATGAGTATGTCATCTGCTTAAGTATGGTTATATGGGGACCTGGTGTCATTCAGTGGAAGCAAAAGTTTGGTTGGTTAGGAAGCAAGAACCCAGGTCAGATGTCATGATCTAGACACCTAATAGTTGGTAGGTACTTCGTTGTCTGCTTGATATGCTTAAACAACACATTTGTTGTGATCCTTGGCTATTGATTGGGACTGGGCCAAGTTCATTGTCCCTTTTCCTTGTATTTTGTCATATAGCCTAGATGAAATCTGTGTGCCTTTTTTTTTTTTAGGGGAGGGGGAGGGGGAGGGGGTTGGCAGTCCTGTACTCTCTACCTATACATGAAGCTGGGATGAAACTGGAGAATGTAAGTTGTAGATCCTTGAGGGCAGGCTTAACGGGTGCTTGTGTGTCCAGGTGTAAGGTGTTAAAATAAAACTCGACCATGGGCTAGATTCCCCCTGGCTTTGTTCAAGAAGTTGCAGCTCTTCAAACTGGGGTCAGGGAAGTTTCAACGTGTCCCAGAGTTGAACCCCGAGAATCTTGGCAGGTGTAATAAGACATTAATGTGTGATACCTGAATCATAATATATAAGAGTCTATTGCGCTCCCCAAATAAAATTTTGGTGTATAATTTGCATTTTTGGAAAAATAGATTCGAGCATCATGGAGTTAGGCTAGTGAATTACTCATTTGTTTTGAGTATTCAGCAATATTTCAATGCATCAGAGACGCAATTTTTGTTTTGTTTAACCATGATAACCACTCTTTGAGAATTGTTACTAGGTTGGTGATCCTGATCTGGACCACAATTGCTGGGAAAGGCCGGAAACAATGACTGAGAAAAGACCTCTCACACAGATTAACAAAAAGTCTCCCGGATCAGATGTTGCTGCTGAGGCAGCAGCAGCTATGGCAGCTGCTTCAATGGTCTTCAAATCCAGAGATACTACATATTCTGATGTGCTTCTTCAACATGCTCAGAAGCTATTTACTTTTGCTGATACTTATAGAGGCCTCTCAAGTGAGAGCTATCCCAAGCTCCAAGATTTCTATAACTCCACCAGTTATGTTGATGAGCTTCTATGGGCAGCAAGTTGGCTTTATCATGCCACAGGCGACCAGACATATCTCAGTTATGTAACTGTACAGAATGGGAAAGCTTATGCTGATTGGGGAAGGCCAACATGGTTCAGTTGGGATGACAAAAATCCAGGCACACAGGTTTGTGTGGACTAAACTGAGTGAATTTGCATGGCAGATTGAGTTACTTATCTTATGTTCATTTCATATCTTTATAATTCTCTCTTCATTCAAGCTCAAGAACTTAAAGTGCACTTTGGTTATTCTGTGCAGGTCCTTTTGTCCAGACTAAATTTCTTTGGCTCCAAACAGATATCTAATGCTGAAAATGAGGGGTTAAAAAGTTATAGAGATACTGCAGAAGCTGTCATTTGTGGTCTGATTCCAGATTCCCCTCAAGCCACTGCTAGCAGAACTGGAGGTATATTGTAGTGCATCTGCCATCTGCTCTTTAATCTGGTGTTACCTGGCGATACAAAGAGGGCACTCACCTTGTTGTGATCGACAAGTTTCCCTTTTGACATGCTCTCTATACTGAGGATTTTATGATTTTGTCAGAAATAGAATCTGTAGAGTATGCATTAGTGATGTTTTCAGTTTATCATACCAGTGCAATCTTCTGTAGGAGGGTTGGTGTGGATCAGTGGGTGGAATTCTCTCCAGCATGCCACCAATGCTGCATTCCTAGCTGTTGTGTACAGTGACTACATGCTCTCCACACGGACAGCGGCAGTGCAGTGCAGTGGAAAGTACTACAGCCCTACCGATATACGCAATTTTGCTGCATCACAGGTGCACTATGTGAAACCGTAATACAGTATACTAAAATTCTAGATGGTCATGTGTTCATATGACATTGCTGGTTCCTAAGATTTACCAAGCTACACGGTAAATCGAAAGATATTGTGAAGTTTCTGATTCATGTTCTCATGCTGTATTCCAGGCTAATTATATCTTGGGAGACAACCCAATGAAGCTTAGCTATCTTGTTGGATATGGGAGCAGCTATCCACAGCAAGTACATCACAGAGGAGCGTCGATCCCCTCAGATGCGAAAACAGGCTGCAAAGGATTCCAGTATCTCCATTCACCCGATCCAAACCCAAATGTTGCAATGGGTGCCCTGGTGGGTGGGCCATTCCAGAATGACACTTTCGTCGATTCTCGTGACAATGCTGTACAGACGGAGTCCAGCACCTACAACAGTGGCACCCTAGTCGGTCTGCTCTCCGGTCTTGTCACCACTTCCTCTGTTGTACAGTCGTTCACCTAGAGGGCTCCTATGTTTTGGCGGTGCCTACCAACCTGGAGCGATGCATGCAAAATCGCAGTTTTTTGGCGTGGCCGATGGTGATGCACGATCTGTGAGAACAGCTTGGTTGGCCATCGTTCAGATGGATGGCATGCAGCAGTAGTTAGTGCCCACATTTCTTCTGTGTGTACAATGATGGTGCAGCTCCTACAGCTGTCATTTTTCACTGTGTGCTCCTATCTGGTTTGTTGGTGTACCTGTAAGGCTGTAGCTACGAGTAGTAGGACGTATTTCATTTGTTGATTCTGTGGTGAGGTCGTTCAGCAAAGCTTGTACCAATGAATTGTAGCGCCCCTCAACTGAAATGTGCCCTAAACATGTGAATTCATAATTGGGGATGAATGGCACGTATTCGTGCGGTTTTTGCGGCGCTTCACTTCATTCTAAAAAACCCTGGGATAAGATAGGGAAGAGAGACATTTCTGGTAATGGCTCCCAGCTCCCGACGTGATTCCTACTTCCTAGCGTGTGTGTGTGTGTGTGTTTTTGGGGGTTGCTGGTGAAAGGTTGCATGGTCCACGCCTCCACGGTGAAGCGTAACGAGAGGAGTTCCTTCCCTTTTTTTGTCCCAAAGAAAGAAGAAAAGGGATGGATCAGGGGAGCTGGTGGAAATGATGGCCTTTGTTCATGGTCACATGCTAGGTCCAGATGCTAAGATTCGAGATATCAAATTCTCGAAAGTTTTAAGGCCTTGTTCAGAACTGGACATGAATTCCTGCAGGTAGCACTATTTGTTCAGAAGATGCAATGAAATTCCTGAATTTGAAAAGGTTAGTGCTGTGTTTGGAAATTGGAACGCTCCCTTGTACTGTATCTGTATGCACCTCCGAAATCCCGTCCATTCCAAATGGGTCCAAGCATCGATTACCAAACCAGAACTGAACCTGCATTGGTGGCTCGAGGCCTCGAGCCGCCTTCCGCTGTAACCGCTTTCCGGGAGCCCAATATCTGATTGCGCGAAAGGACGTGGCGGTTGGTTGGCAGTTCCAGGAATCCCGCCGGATACAACCGCTCCCATAGCCTGCATGTTTAACCATGCGCCCCTATCGGTTTCAGTTTGTGTTTATCCGGTTATCCCAGTTCTATTAACCCAAGTAGGCTTCCACTAAAGCTATTGCCAGAATCCTTCTCCGGAATCTAATCATCGGTAACATCTTCTGACTGCACGGTGAATTGCATCCTTGTTTGTTTCCCCTTTCAGTAGCTCTGCACGGTAGTTATTTGATTTGCACCAAAGATCGATCGTTTGTGTTTTCCCTCGTCACGATTCTGGTCTGTTCCTAAGCATCCATGATTGCTGATCAATCATTGCCTAGTTTGCACATGCTAATTTACACCACCCGAACGGTAAATCTCTGAACAACATGACGCAGGATCTTGGGCTTCCAATTACTGAAGATGGCCGTATCATTCGTCACTAGACTTCTAACGTAAGCAGTCTTGCGGATTCAGTCCCTTTCTAGATTCACATTGGGCCCTAGGACCCAATCCAATCTCCTATTTCTTGGTCCTGAATTGCAGATTGGCATTAGGATACGCCTATCCGGCGTACGACTGCCACAAGACTCTGGAACTGAACGCGCACGCGCCGCAGATGGAACGGCTGCGGTTCTGGTGCCAGTACTGGTAAGCAAGCAATCAAGCAATCAGATCAGATTAACCCACAAACTCATGTACTGCTCCATGTTAATCTTTTTTTTCTTTTTCTTTTTCTTTTTCTTTTTCTTTTTTTGCTCCATGTTAATCTTGTGGTGAACATGACTCTGAACTGTCTGTCATTCACGGCGCGGTGCTGTATAGGATTCTGCTCGCGGTCCTGACTGCTTTCCAGAGCTTCGCCGACTGCGCGCTCTCGTGGCTGCCGATGTACGGCGAGGCGAAGCTCGCGCTCGTCGTCTACCTCTGGCACCCAAAGACAATGGCAAGCCACCATCCGAGACCACACCCTGCTGAACAAGACGTTTTCTTTTTCCTTGCACGTACGTACATTGCAGTCCCATGTGGGCCTGTATGTGCAGTATGTGGCCAAGTCTGAAACCATTTTCCATTTTGTGGTCACCACACCAGGGCGCGAGTCACGTCTACGACGACTACCTCCGTCCGTTCCTGGCGGCGCACGAGGCGGACATCGACCGCGGCCTCGTGGAGCTGAGGGCCAGGGCCGCGGACGCGACGGCGTCGCACCTCCAGGCAGCCGTGGCCCTCGGGCGGGCGTGTCTCTCCGAGGTCGCCCGCCGCGTTTCGTCGCAGCTGCAGGCGACCAGAAGTCATCCGGCCGGGGCCGGGCAGGCACAGTGATCCTGCCGCGCGCGGGCGCGGAGTACAGTGTACGTGTACGTGTAATCCAGACGATTGCAATCAATTGCGTTGCACGAATTCGGAATCTTGTGAGGTCGAGGTCGTGGTTGAATTGGACCACTGACGCTGACTGGAGCGTTTGCATTGGGCCATTGACTGTGGTACTCCTAACTAGCTAGACCTATGGCCCAGTTCGCCTTAAATCTGACTTGTTTGGTTTTTTTTTTAGCCGGAGCATTATTTTTCTCTCATAATATTTCAGCAAAAATAGTGTTTTCAGCCACCTCCACTTTCAGACAAGTTTCAGCAAGCCGAACAGGGCCACGTGCAAGGACACTTGCCTTTTTCGCTTGGCTAAAAGCCATGGCTGAAAGTATTGTTGGTTGATTTGTTGTTAGAAAAAAATACTGTTCGTTGGTCGAAAAAGTACGGCTTATAAGTCAAGCAAAGAAAGCGAGTGACATGAAAGATGAAACTGAATGACAGCAGTGAGTTGACGGGCTTGCACATATTGCAGTAGAAATATTGTTACAGTCCTTGACTCAACGTAGCTAAACTAGTTATTCTCTTCGTTCTAAATTATAAGTCGCTTTAACTTTTTTATATATGTATTTTACTATGCATCTAAATATAATAATACTCACTCCGTCCACAAAAGAATATAATTATGGGATTTATGCCGGTCAACTTTTTTCAATTTTGACCAAGTTTTTAGTAAATAATATTAGCATTTATGTCTTTAAATAAATTCATGATGAAAATATATTATATAATTAATCTAATGATATTTATTTTGTATAAAAAAAATTTGTCGGTGTAAAAAGTGACCAACACGTAAATATTTATAGTTTTGCCGTACATTGTGATCGGAGGTGGCCTAGCACTCAATGACACAGGGTTTATACTGGTTCAGGCAGCTTGCCCTACGTCCAGTTTGAGTCGGTCGGTGACTTTATTCCTAAGCCCAGGTGCTCAAAGTCTACAGTGGGGTTACAAACGAAAAAGAAGAAAGATGAGGTGTACAAGAGGTCCGGTCGGCTCCGGTCGGAAGGGTTGTGAGCGACAGGAGCTCCGCTATAAGCTAAGTGTTTAAGCGTGTGCCCGAGATCCGAACCTAGCGGTTCTGTGGTTGCGAGCTAGTGAATTTGGTCGATCTAATGAATCTAAAGAGACTGAGCTTGAATCAACCTGGTTTAACTTGGTCTATTGGGAGAGAGCGCATCTCTTTTTATAGATAAATGGGATGGCTATACAAGTGAGAGAAAGAGACTACGAATGCTTCTAAGCCTTGTTACCCACGCCGACGGGTACAACATGATGGTAGACGCCCACAACACTGTTGGATGTCAGATGCACATGGAAGGTTCTGTCGTTTTATTTGGGTATGGCAAATATTAGTACCTGCATATACTGTTGATGTCCAGAGGCATGTGAGGAGTTTCACCATGTGCACTCGGTACGGTAAATTTCGGCGCCCACAACACTGTCGATGCTTAGAGGCATGCGGGGGGAGCCTTACCGTATGGTAGTTTAATGGTGCCCACAATACTGTAGGGGAAATGTAGGCGCCTACAACACTGTTTGTGTTAGGGCAGTTGCAGAGTACTGTTCCGTACAGGGTATGGTACCTGGTACCGTGGTTTGACTTGTGCGCTTTGCCTTGCTTTTCTTCGCACGTCTCCTGGTCCCTACCGAGCGGGCGTCTCTGATCGGTTGATCCCAGTTGGCTCTGATCGCGCTAGTTAGAGAAGAGCGGTGAGTAAGGGCTGGGCGTATCCTCGGTCGGAGAGTGCGGGGTTGGAGTTGGAAGCGGTGCTTTTGGCCAGGCCTTCCGGTCGAAGAGGCCATCCGGAGATGGGCTGGCGACCGAATCGAGCGCTCCGGTCGGAGAGGTGGGTCGAAGTCAGAAAACGGACGTTGTTCCTCTTCGGCCTGACCTTCCGGTCAGAGATTGGATCACTCCTCCGGCTTGTCGCTCAGGTATTTGGGCCGGCCCATGAGTTACGTGCTGTCTGCTTGGGCCGAGCCTTTGCGTGGAAGCCAGTCCCCGGGGGACTCCGGGTTTATGAATCCGACAGGAGCCCCTGAGCCCTCGGGTGATTCGGGCAGAATCAACTGGGGGATTTTTGTCTTGACGGCGGGTGCGCGCGAGCGCACCCGCGGGTGTAGCCTCTGAGCGGTTCAGGCAGAACCGTCTAGGGGGTTTTCTGTGTTGTCAGCGGGGGAGGTTTTCATTTTGTCGGTGGGTGCGCACGAGCGCACCCACGGGTGTAGCCCCTGAGCCCCCGGGTGGTTCGGGCAGAACCGTTTGGGGGCTTTTTGTCTAGCGGGCGTGTGTGCGTGTTTTTAGTTGAGACGGAGTTTGTCAACCAAGACGTCGTTGTGCATCCGAGGCGGTTAGGCATAGGGATCGGATGAGACGGAGCTCGCGGATCCTGGAGTCGGTGCGCGCCGTGGGATCGAGCGAGGCGGTTAGTTCATTAGTTTTGGGATCAGGCAAGGCGAAAAGGCGGTGCTTACGGATCCTGGCCTCGGTGCAGCCCGCGCAGCCGAGGCAGTTAGTTTGTTAGTTTAGGGATCAGGCGAGGCGACAAAGCGGTGCTCATGGATCCTGATGGGGCGAGATCGGGGGCGCAGACCCAAGTTGTTTTTGGAGCGCAATCGAAGCGTAGCCGGATGGGGCGAGATCGGGATCGCAGACCCAGGTTTTTGGACCGCAGTCGGAAGGGGTGAGTTTGGGGTCGCAGACCCAGGTTGTTTTTAGAGCGCGGTCGGAGCGTAGCTGGATGGGGTGAGATCGGTGTCGTAGACCTAGGTGTTTGGAGCGCAGTCGAAACGGGCGAGTTCGGGGTCGCAGACCCAGGCTTTTTGTGTCTTGAGCCCCCGAGCCTTGTTGGGCCTTAGTAGGGGTCGGTGTGAGTTGTGTGCGTTACCCCATCCTTGGTTCCTCACAACCGGAGGGGGTGAGTTTTGTCGCTTGTCCCGATCGCTCGGGCTAGAGTGACGCGCTCGGTGAGTTCGCTAACGGGTATGATCGAGCAGAATCTGAGTCCATCGTTCGTGATGGGGTTAGCATAGCCCTCTTGTGATATTCCACTGCTCCTTTACCTACAACTCGGCAAATGCCTGGGTCATTCTGGAGACCGACCTGGGTGGCCTAACGGCCTTCCCTCGATGGAGATTATGTGGGCTTGGCAAGAGGTTTAGGATCGAATGAGATGGTTGAGATGACCCTGTCTGCCAGAATGGGCGAGGGCCGCATGGGGCTCATCTACGTTTTTCTCCCCTAGCTCTGTTGGTTGCTCATGACGAATGAGGCAACCGGCGCTTCATGACGCAACACGAAGCATTGTGATGCATTTCGCTGCACATGCGATGCTTAGTTCCCGAGCCCCCGAGCGGTTCAGGGCCTGAATCGTCTAGGAGGCACGGGCGTATGGAATGAATGCGTGTATGGATGTATGAAATAATTATAAAGAAATAGAGGGGGTTGGTAGTTTTTACCTTGATGACTCGAGTGACGGGGTTTGGAGAGCTCCAGTTGGAAATGTCCAACCGGGACCCGTGCTCGTCATTCATGACGGAGTCGGCATGGCCTATATGGGGCGTCCCTTTGCTCCTTATCTGTCTCTCGGTGTTTATCCTGAGCGATTCGATCGACTCAGGGGGGCCGATGGTCTCTCCCGGTGAAGATCCCGTTTTTGGGTTTTTCCAGGTCTGTCCTAGGGAAGCAGAGAGCCGCCCACATGCGGTGGCACTTTGGTTCTTGTGCCCGACGTGCGGTAGTGGTTGGTCGTGCGGTACTGGTGGGCCATGCCCAGGCCATGTCCCGCTCGATCAGGAGTCGTTCCGTCGGGCAGGGCACGTCTCATCGGTCAGGGCGCGTCTCATCGGTCAGGGCGCGTCTCATCTGCATTAAATAGGAAAGAGAGAGAGTTTTTCGCTCCACCGTTTTGCCTTCCCCGATCGGCGTGCCCTTCCCTAACTGTTGTTCCCTTTTCCTTAAGTAGGAGAAGGGAGAGGGTGTTCGCCCCGTTCTTTTGCCTGTTCCTCATCTGCCGCCTCCTTTCCTCTTCCTTCTTACCGTGAGCATTCCTGAGAGCCGCGATGGTTTCTAGGAAAGAAAGGGGAGAGAGCAAGGGAGAAGAGAAGAACTCAGTGATTCCGGAGCGAAATGTCGAACTGGAGGTCGTCCACCGTGAGGGAGTCGGTGTTGAAGGCCTTCGTTGTGAAGGGGTTCCTGTCGCCAAAGGAGGTGGCGCACTAGAGGGTTCCCGGGAGGGAGGACTTCCTACAACCTCGGCCTGGTGAGGTGGTGTCCTTTCTTACCTTCCATGAGCGCGGGTTAGGGTACCCCGCGCACTGGTTCCTGCGTGGGCTCCTTAATGAGTGGGGCCTGGAGCTACAGCACCTTAATCCAACTAGGGTGCTGCACATCACCGGCTTCGTCACCGTCTGAGAGGCTTTCCTCGGGATGGAGCCGCACGTGGATTTCTTTCGGCGGTGGTTCTCTAGGAGAGCCTTGACGGTGGGGAATCCAGACGAGATCGCACCAGTGGGGGGTTTCGTCCTACAGAGGAAACCAAGCGCGGGAGGCTCGTATCCCACGTACCTCCCCTAGGACTCCAACCGAGGGTGGCATGGGGAGTGGTTTATATTAGGAATCCAGCGGAGGCGCCATTATTGGCGTTCACCGACGAGAGGCCAGAGAAGCAGGAAAGTTGGTCATGGGGTTGCGCCCGTAAGGAGAGGAAGAAGGTGGAGGTCATCGAGGAGGAGCTCCAGAAGCTTGTGCAGCACAGTCTTGACGGGGTGCGGTTGTTCCACACCCTCTACCGCCACCGGGTTGCGCCGTTGGCAGAGAGGACGTGGCCGATGTGGATGTTCAGCGGCCCGTCGGACCCGGACCACGCGTCACCGGAGGATCTGCCGGACGACGAGGTCTGGAGTCGCCTTGGCCAGGTGTTGCAGCTGAAGGCCAAAGAGGGGGTCGAAGGGAA